AGAGTATAATGTAGAACCTACGATATAGGTTTATTGAGACAAGATTTAGACAAAAAAGGGAAATGATAATATATTGCAGTGCTGGGTCGGTCACACGGAGTTGGCCCTTGTGGCAAAATGCCTTTTAGCTTACACGGTGAGTTTTAGTTTGCCGTATCGAACGGCGTCACAATGGCGATGTGGAATTATCAAGGTTTTCTCTACAGTCATTTGCATTTGCTGGCTCGTCATTTATATTTTGTCAGTGTTTACATTTTCGATCCGCCTTCTAGGGGGGTCAGATTTCGAATTTTTCCCCGACTGCTGGTCAGTGAGTGGGCATGCTACCGTTTCCAATCGGGCTGATTTTTGTTTGAAGCCGAGGATATGCGTCACGGCTTCCTTATCTCCGCCTATGATGATACACAAAGTGCTTACCAATGTGAGAAATAAAAGAAAGAGAGTTTCTTTACTTCAACAGAGGAAGTAGTAGTAAGGTAGGGAAGGTCTCTGTTCTGGCTGTGGACTCGGCTCAACACTGTCAGCAGCAAGCGAGCCGCCGAGTCAGCTGGTGTGGCGCAAGGAGAGCACAGGGATAGAAACACGTATAGGAAAGCACAAAGGGATAGACCAAGTTAAGACTTTTATTTCACTCTTACAGTGCAGATTGTGAACACACTTGGTACAAGAACAACAGAGGACAATTTTTGGATTCAAAAACATTAAAATTTGAGGCCCGCTAAACGGGATTTTTTGATGGAAATAGGAACTCCATTTGGATTGTCAAACAAAAGAATTTAGCTGGGTAAACATTGTTCAAAAGTCACACATTTTTCTCCTCGAAAGCCCGCTCGAAAAAGGTTTCAATTTTGTTATATCAAAACACGCACGCATGGCGAAGTCCTAGGACACGATTTGAGGCCGGCCGGCGTGCGTCATTCCGTCTGTTGCACGGTGATGTAGGGCTGTGGGGTGCACTGAAGTAGACCTGCAGTGGCGCCTAGCAGCAGCCGCAGGGGGGTGGGGGCGGCGGCAGGGGGCAGGGGCTCTTTAAAAGCACAATGTGGGAATGAGGTTTTATTGATGAGAAAATAAATTAGGTGATGTGCGACTGATACGACCCTGGTCACGAGTGCAGGGCGATTCTCTGAATCGCGTCCGACGGGTCCGAGTCGCGGTTCAGGTTCCGCAGGTCGTCCGCAAAGTGATCGTCTTCGTCCAGGTCGTCCTGGAGCTCGTCGTCCCCGCGCGCGCTCCGCTCGATGGTCTCCCGCGCCCGCCGCAGGGACTCCTGCCTGGCGGCGTGCTCGTCGTCCCGCAGGCGCCGCAGGTACGCCCTGGTGATGTGCAGCAGCGTGGGGTTGGGCGGGCTACCGTCGTCGGCGTCCTGGGCGTCGGCGCGTCTGAACCGGCCTAGCAGGCTCTGGCCGAGGAAGACAGTATTTTACGATCCCAGAAAGGTTGTGCAGAGAAGCAAGCAAGCCTCCTTCCAAAACCCGACACCAAAAGGGACGGAGTCGAAGTGGAAAAATCAGATCTGCTTGGGGACCCCTTTGGCTTTTACAAAACTGCTTGAAAACCAGGACGTCGTTTTTACCGTTTGTTGAACCTACCATGTGGCTCGAAACTTTTCCAGAAACTTTTTAAAAAAGATTGCAACTAACATTTCCAGAAAAGATGGTAAAAAAATTAAACTTATTCAGAAAAAATTGAGAGATATTATAAAAATGTACATAGACATTTTCTCTAAAACTCTTTTCCGAAAAATTTAAATTCCTTCTCGACTCACCCGGTACGGTGCGTATTCGGGCTGCTCCTGGCGCTTGCGCAGTGTCTCCGCGTCCTGCGCCTTGTTGGCCTCGATGGCCTGCAGCAGTGTGGTCGCCAGGTCGCA